CAGACACGGGTGCAGAAGCAAATGGATTCTTCCATAGAGCAGAATAGCTAAGAGCACAGAGTCTGGCCTCAGGACGCCTAGGTTGTTTTTTGTTGTTGTTGTTGTTGTTTTGTTTGTTTTTTAAATATATTTTATTGATTTTTTACAGAGAGGAAGGGAGAGGGATAAAGAGCTAGAAACATCGATGAGAGAGAAACATCGATCAGCCGCCTCCTGCACACTCCCCACTGGGTATGTGCCCGCAACCAAGGTACATGCACTTGACCGGAATCGAACCCGGGACCCTTGAGCAGGCCGACGCTCTATCCACTGAGCCAAACTGGTCAGGGCAGGACTCCTAGGTTTGAATCCCAGATTCATCACTTACAATTAAGGGGCCTTAGCCAATGAGCAGCCTCCAGAATGAAAACAACCCTAGAATTTGCTTCATGGGGCTGTGGAAGTGATTTGATAAGACAATGTACGAGAAAAGCTTAGCACAGTGTGTGGTGCGTAATAAGCATTCACTGAATGTCAGCTGCTATTGACACTATTAATATCATTAAAGTACGTAGCTTGTGAAGAAGCCTAACCTACCACATACATCATCCCAGCTTGGTTAAGCTTGGGCTTTGTTCTGTTCGTTTCATGGCGGACGCTAACTATGGCATATTGGGTAAGTTTTAGGATGCATTCCTTTTGAATATCGTGGGGAAGTGTACTTTAAAACTCCTGTTGCAAGTCTAGCACTCTTTTAGATGCTTCTTTTCCCCACTGACTGATTTGCTATTGCACGCAAAAGCTGTAAAAAGAGAGACATCCAAACCATCTGGTTCCCTTGCTGAGTTGTTTTCATTCTGCCCTTCAGTGAGAAACATTTGAGTTTTTAAAAATTCATGAGTGATACCACACCAGTGGGCTAATTTTATCCCTAATGAGGTGTATTATACTTACTAGGATTCATGCTTTCTAGAAATGCTGGAAATGAAAATCTTAAAAAGTAATTTTTTTCGTTCTGTTTCTTCATTTTATTCCTTGACACTTAGAAGTAGCATTTGAATAAAAACATCATTTTTACTACCAATGACAATATAAAAGTTATGTGCTGAGCATTAAAAAGGTAGTATAACATCGCACATTAACTTAAAAATTAAGCACCTACTGGGCGCTAGGAAGGGCTGTGGGACACAGGGTTTATAGTAGTGAGTCAGAATAGATTTTGCCCTAGTAAAGTGTACAATTGACTGGAAGGTATCACTATTATACCAATTATTGTAAGGTTAAACCATATAAAACTGCCAATTGGCTAGCATTTCTTTCCCCAAACAGCAATTTCATGTGATTCAACCTAGTGTTATGAGGGATTACATGACGTTACAGGAACGTGTCTCGGGGACTCCAGGGATGACTTCTGAGGTTTAAGGATGAGTGTGAGCTGGGTAGGTGAGGGGATGCGGGGGGAGTAAGTATGGGGACTAGCAAGGGTTTGAAGAGTTAGAAACAGCATGTGCAAGATGAGGTTGACAAAAGGAGCCAAAGTCTTCCTTATAGGACCTACTAAGAATATTGGACTTAATCCTACGTCAGTAGGAATATTGTTTAGAGGTTTGAGCAGGAAGGTGATATGATCAAATTGTGTGTTTTTTTAAAGTCACCTTGCCTGCCATGAGAGCTACATTGATTGCAGTGGGCAAGAGCGGATGGGACAAAGTCAGCTGGGAGGCTACTGCCGGTATCCAGGCAGAAACTGATGGTTGGCAGTTCACAAGATGCTTTCAAATGTAAATTCATATTTTACCCTTATAACAGTTCTAACACAAGGTGTTGATATCAGCTTCAGCCACATGGCATGCCCAGGGTCAGATGGTGCTGCTGGCAGTAACCCTAGAACTCTGTGGTATGACTCTTGCCCCATGGTCTCCTGGGAGCTTTAGGCCCATGTACCACTATTTCTGAGTGTGCACAATTGGTTTCTCTTAAGAAAGGATTTGCTTATAAGAAACAGAATTCTCATTCCTTAGTGGTGGAGGAGGAGATGAAAGGTTACTCTTAGCCTCGTTTTATGACTGAGAGTTGAGAAGCAAGCAGAACGTAACATGGAACTTGATATTAAATTAGAGCATCTTTTTGGGAAAAAATACATTTATTAACTTTATGTATTTATTTGTACCCTGCCTCATTCCAAAAATGGATTTGAAACAGCTTTCAAAACTACATATGGTATGACAAGAAGAGAAGGTAAAAAATCAGGGTAGGCATATTAAGATGATGCCACAGGTGTCTTAAGTCCAACGAACATTTGCATAATCAACTTTAAGATTCACATGCCCCTCTCCCCCAATAAAAATAAACCAAGTGTCGTGCTCAGAGTAGCTTTTCTTTCTACTGGAATCCAGAAAATTTTCCCCATTGGGTCTTCATAAAGACTCTATCATGTAGTGAGCAGCACCCAGACCTGTTTCACAGAATGAGCAAGTGAACGAATTAACCCAATTCATGTCCGGAGACCATTTCCTATTAGTATGCCGAGTTATGCGACCTTTGGTAAAAGTTTCCTCCACAATAAAGTCAAAAATTTGGACTAGAGCTAGACTTCTCAAAGTGGGTGCCTTGGGGTACCTAATAATGTGACAGGAAGAATGTGAAGCCATAGGACAAATGGCATATGGGTTTTGCTTGAAGATTTTTATGGCAAAACAACATTGAAACTTTTATGAAATATGTTTGGAGTTGTTTGGAAACATACAATTGAACCTATGTGTTTCATTTTGGGGAAAATTCCTGTTTCTTGAATAGACATTAGAGGCACATCAATAACCCCCTTTCCTTTATGAAGATATAATACAAAACTGTGTAAAACCTATAGTCTTGTTTATATATTAGTAATTTGCTTTCAATTCATGGAGTGTTGCCGAAACCGGTTTGGCTCAGTGGATAGAGCGTGGGCCTGCGGACTGAAGGGTCCCAGGTTCGATTCCGGTCAAGGGCATGTACCTGGGTTGCGGGCACTTCCCCAGTGGGGGATGTGCAGGAGGCAGCTGATCGATGTTTCTAACTCTCTATCTCTCTCCCTTCTCTCTGTAAAAAATCAATTCATGGAGTGTACATGTCCATTACCATGACACTATTTTTTAAGGGAGGACATTTTGCCATTATGCAAAGAGAGACAACTCACAATTCTGCACAAATAATATGTTCCAGGAATGGTGCTTTATAAATATTTTCTCTGTTCTCCATACAGTCCTGCAAGGAATTATTTCCACGTTATGGATGCGGAAAGTGAGGCTCAGAAAAGTTAAATAAACGTGTCTGAAGTAACTTAGCTAGTAGATGAATAGTGCAGGCGTCTAAGTTTTATTCTGTTGCCTCAGCAGGGTAGGATTAATTTCAGGAGCAGCTTGTAATTTGCACGTTTATTTTGACTTATCAAACACTGTGATGTTGATCATTAGGTGTTATCCAGGATACAGATGGGGGTGTAGGTTATATACTTCAGCAGTAACTTAACAGCTGTTACTCTATGATTTATTTGAGGGTGTGGTAGTCCCCCCCCCCAGTAAATCATTGATAATAAGGATTAAAATCAGCTCCTTGTTTTGTTTTATTGCATGTGTTCCCATCAAGGCTTGAATCCCACTGAATGCTTTGCCAGTCATTGCAATATAAAGATAGTCAAGGCAGAATCATTTTGGAGCTGCAAATGTCTTCAGTGTCCATTTAATCGGCAGGTTCAAACTGTGGTCTCTGTAGTCCTAAAGGCCCTGTGGGGTCCCCTCATGGCTCCTGTGGATGATGGAGCAGAATCGGTGATGAGCTGGAGGGGCCTGCCATATCATCCCGCCTCCACTTCAGCCAGCTCCTGCTTTTCGGTTTTGTTCCTGCATCTAGGCACATGTGTGATGGAAGAAAGGGTGCTATCTCTAAAGAAATAAAACAAAACAAAAGTTAAAAACAAGTTTGAAAACTACTGGTCATCCAACTTCTTATTTTCTTTAAGGGAACAAACTTTGGCTCAAATAGGTGAAATGATTTACCTAAGAACACAGAAAAAGTCATGGCAGAGCTAAAATTAAAACTATCAAACCATCATGTTCTACATTGATACACAATTATATTTATATACAATTATATTGGTCAATAAAGTTGGGAAAATAAAAAAAGCATAAAAAAACTAGTCCTCTAGTTCCCAGACTGGTGCTGCAGCCACCGTGCCATATTGAATCTTATGCAGCTCAAGGAGGGCTCTCAGTTGTTGGGAGGGAACATTCTTAAAGTTGGGCTGATTATGTATCCAGATGTAAAATAAAGGTAAAAGTTTTGTGCTTAGGGTATATTTTAATGTCTCACCCGAAATACCCTTCTCTTGAACTTAAGTCTCCTAAATTTGAATATTTTCTATATCATGACTAAAGTCTTTTATCTTAGGATCCCAAATCCTGTGGGATTCTCCATGCAAAGAACATTGTCAGCAGCATCTCAACGACACATTTAGGGCAGAAAACCAAGTCACTTTCACAGCAACTCTTCTCAGTTGGCAGTGATGGTGGTGGTTGTTTCAGTGGTTCTGAGATCCTCCCTGGATTCACAAGATAGAGTGTGATGATCTGTCAGTGATGAGTAGCAGAGCCCCCCAAATGAGGAGGGGCAGCCCATGAGCTAGACTTACCCGCCCTGTAAAGTGAACCACCTCACTTAGTAAGGGTCTATAGGCATACAATATAGACTATATCTGTATTTCTTCCTAAACATGAATTGTTCACCTTGAAGTCATGGGTACTCCAAAGAAGGGAGAGGGGGAAATACAAGAAATGGAAGAAATTGGTCATCTTCTTATTATGGTCCCGTTCAAGGACAGGAAGAAGGAAAGGGGTTGCATTTCTTGGTTTGTAGCTAACATGATAGAGAAATAGTAGTCCATTTTCCTTTGAAAGAAAATGGCCCCAAATTTGTAATGCATGTATGAAAATTATATTGAAATAGAAAACATTTCTAGCAATTTTTATTTTTTTTTTTACCCATAGGATTTGCTTCAAAGGGCACTCCAAAAATTGAACTGAGAAATCCCAAGTAAGCTGCCTGAATTTCCCTGTACATTCTTGGTCTACATCCTGTAAAGGACCAGACAAGTCAAATTGGTGGTTTTTTGGTGAGTACACCTGCTGGTATCCTTTTCTTCTTAAGGAAAACCATACTTTTTCATTCCTATCAATGAGGTATCTGCTGCTTAGACAATGTGCATCTGGTGTGTCGTTTTGTGGCAACACGAGTGGCTATACACAGTAAGTTATTTTGAACCCACAATATAAATCCCTATTTCTCTGTTTAGTTTACATCTTGGTGGCCCAGGAGGAAAAAACTACTGCTGCTGTTTGCGTGTGTGAGCATCTTAGGAGAGATGAGGAACAATTATGTATTGCTTATAATTTGTCTTTTACACCCACAAATAGAGATCAAGTGTAGGTCACTCGGCATTGTCTTCTGAAAGGGTTGGACACAAGGAAGGGCCTTGGTACAAGCTACGGAAGACGACTGTATTTTCTTGAATAATTCTCACGCCTTTTCTCATTTGTTACCTCACCTGTCGGATGATGTCAAAGTAACTATCAGAACCGCTAACTCATGGCAATCTAATTACAACATATGGAAATACACTTCCACAACTATATAATTCACTACAGATAGGCGGCATTATTATTCTGTGGGTGATAATTTTATGTACGCTGCGGCAGGGATGGGAAACAAAAGAAAGACGTAACTGGTATCATCTTCACCTAGAGCTTTGCACGGCCAGCCCTCCCCAGTCGCAGCCACAGCCCTCACATAGAGCTGGAAGGTAGAGGCCATAGATCCTTGTATGTCAGGGAGGAGTCCTGGTGACACTTATGTGCCCAACAACTCCTCACGCCCCCAACGCAACCCAAAGTCCCTTCTCATATCCTCTAGGCTGGGATCTGGACTAAATTCAGGGACTTGGAGAGCCAAATTTTTTTAATTATAATTTTTTTCTTTTTATAAAAGCATATTTATTAAAGGAAACCTGGAAAATAAAGAAAAAATATAAAATTACTTAAAATCCCACATTCCAAAGAAACCACAATTAACATTATGGTAAATTTATTCCTTTTTTGTTTGTTTTTCAACTATTTCATATATATTCTAAAATATGATTTTACAAGGTAAACATAGTTGAGAACACGAAATTAATATTCTAGTTTACAACTATGCCATAATTTATTTAGCTATTTTCATACATTATGTTTGCTATATCACATATAAATATATACTATTATGTTCATTACATTATGTTACAAATACCACTGTAGTGAACCAATTTGACTATGCATTTTACTTGTGTCTCTGATGATTTTCTTGGGGTAAATTTCCCTAAATGGAATCATTGGGCCAATGAGAATGAACACTGTAAATAAAGCTCTTGATATATTCTAACTGTCCTCCAGAGATGAGCAGCCGATTACCTATTACACGTGTCCTCCCACTACATATGACTGTTCATTTCACTGCACGCATGTAATGATTGAGATCTATCATTTTAAGGTTTAAAATCATAAATATTTCTACAGAAGTTCAGGAAACAAAAGCCTGTTCCCTCCCCTGGCACACCCCAGCCTTAACCAATATCAGGACTCTAAAGTAGAAGACAGTGTCATTTGATTGACACTGTACGTCAGCATCAATCTCTCAGATCTGTTTATAGGGAAAAGCATATGCGAGGCTTGCATTTATTCAGTGGGTATTATCACCACTTTTGTTCATTTCTATACTATGTGCTTCAGGGGAATAAAAGAACATCTTTTCATTGTCTATGAGAAGCTTAATTCAGTTGGGAGTCCAAACAGCCAACTTAAAAATACTTGCCCTTGGGTAGGTCACTTACATTCTCAAGGCCTGTTTCTTCTTTTAAATGAGAGACTCAATTTGTCTCTATCTAAAGAGTATCTGAAGGGGTTACTAGTAAACAGATGTGCATACAATTAAGGCCATTCATTATCTAGATGTCTAAACTTAACGGTGAACACCATAATGTGTTTTGTCACTTCTCGGGCAATGGACGCACATCAGTTTAGGAGAGAAAGTTCCCCTAGGAAAATTTTTCAGTATGGCCTCTAAGGTTTCCTCTAGCTCTAACATCTGTAATTCATAAATAACAGATAAACTACCAAAGGATGAGAACCCCAAAGCAAAGGAATGGCCAGTGGGCTTCACAGAAAGGCTTGTAGAATCATGACCAGAATTTTAAAGGTGATAGAGTCTACGGTTCTGTCTAATCTTCATCCTCAGCCTGGTACCTATGGCCCGCCCGCCCCCCGCCCCATCACCCCAGCACACATTCACTAAAAGTCTGCATTTGAAACACACCAAACATGTTTAAAGGGTAAATAAGCTTGTGAGCCCTGGCCAAATAGTTCAGTTGGTTACAGTGTTGTACCAATACCAAGGTGGCAGGTTTGATCCCTGGTCAGGGCACATATAAGAATCAACCAATGAATGCATAGATAAGTGGGACAACAAATCATTCTCTCTCTCTCGCCTCCCCCCTCTTCTGTCTCTCTAAGAAAAAATAATAATAATTGCATGAATATTTAGCTAGCCTTCACCACCTACACCTGCCAGAAATGTTAAAATTGTGTGACTAAACTACTGAGCTATACTGAGCAATTTCAGGGAGACAAGCCAAACTTTGTGAGAAAGTCTGTCACCTGCCAACTAATCTTTCTCTCTGAGGTAGATTGTCCCTTGCATATTAACATAGAGTACATACTTCATAAATATTTTTTGGATTCCTCTCTACTCAGATTTTTTTTTTTGCTACTTTGTAATACCAGTTTGGCTTTGTGCTTTAAAAAATATATCTTTACATATGTTGGGACAACTTCCAAAACCTAAAAGCATGAAGGAATTGTAATAGTTCCCCAACTGGCTGTAATCTCAGTCTTCGAACAACACAGACACTTTTTGACTATATTTCACACAGTTAAAAAGTCTCATTTGCTAATATATTGGCCATTTGTCTTGCTTTGCAATTTGAATTGCAAACATGAAGAAAAAGCTGTATAACCTATAACATCATTTTTCTAATTGATTTTCCCATCTTGTAAAAATCTGCATTTTTTTTTAAATTTTATTTATTTCATACTAGAGGCCCGATGCACAATATTCGTGCAAGAGTAGGCCTTCCTTCCCCCAGTTGCCAGTACCGGCTTCCCTCTGGCACCCAGGACCCGGGCTTCCCTCACAGCCCTGGCTTCCTCCTGAAGGCCGTCGGGTCTAATTAGCATATTATGCTTTTATTATTATAGATAATCTTTGCTGGTTTTCCATGACTCCCTTTTTATTGTGGTAAAATATGTATATTAACCATTTTAACCATTTTTAGATGTACAGTTCTGAGGCATTAAATACATTCACATTGTTGTGTAAATACCACCATCCACATCCAGAACTTTTTCATCTTCCCAAATGGAAACTTTTCACCTTCCCAATGGCAACCACCTTTCTACTCCTTGTCTCTATGACTAACTATTCTAGGTTTCTCATTTAAGTAGAATTATACATTTGTCCTTTGGGGTCTGCCTTATTTCACTTAGCATAATGTTTTCATGGTTCATCCATGTTGTAGCATGTGTCAGAATTTTCTTCTCTTTTAAGGCAGAATAACATTTAATTGTTTATATACCACATTTTGTTTATCCATTAATGCATTTTAAAAAATATATTTTTATTTATTTCAGAAAGGAAGGGGAGGGAGAGAGAGACAGAAACATCAATGATGAGAAAGAATCATTGATTGGCTGCTTCCCGCACACCCCACACTGGGGATTGAGCCCCCAACCTGGGCATATGCCCTTGACGGGAATCGAACCCAGGACTCTTGAGTCCATAGGCCAATGCTCTACCCACTGAGCCAAACTGGATAGGGCCATTAATGCACTGATAGACATTTGAGTTACTTCCACCTTTTGGCTATGTAGTTAATAATGCTTTTATCATGGGTGTACAAATATCTGTTTGAATCCCTACTTTCAATTCTTCTGGGTATATACCTTGTGGTGGCATTGGTGGATCATATGGTAATTCTATGTTTAAGCTCTTAAGGAGCCACTGTACTGTTTCCCATAGCAGCTGCACCATTTTACATTCCCACAAGCAATGCACAGTTGTTCCAATTTCTCCACACCCTTGCCAGCGCTTGTTATTTTGGGGATTTTTGTTTGTTGTTTTTTCAATAGTAGCCCTCGTAATGGGGGTGAAGTGGTATGTCGTTGTGGTTTGATTTGTGTTTCCCAAATGATTAGTGATGTTGAGCATATTTTCATTTGCCAGTTGGCTTTTTGGGTATCATCTTTGGAGAAGTGCCTGTTCAGCCCTTTGCCCGTTTTTAAATTGGCTGATTTGTTTTGTTATTGTTGCATTGTAGGAGGTCCTGATGTATTCTGAATATTAATTCCTCAGTAAGGGTTGCCTTTCACTCTGCTGATAGTGTCCTTTGATTCACAAAAGTTTTTCGTTTGATGTAGCCCAGTTTATCTATTTTTTTTTTATTTTGTTGCCTGTGCTTTGGGTGTCATATCCAAGAAATCAAAGCCAAATAAATCCAGTATCATGAAGCGTTTCCTCTATATTTTCTTCTAAGAATTCTATAATTTTAGCTCTTTCATTTAAGTCTGTGAGTCAGTTTTTGCATGTGGTGATGGTAAGGGCTAGGCTTATTTTTAAAGAGGTACTTTTCAATCCCACTAAGTCCCAGTGAAGATGTGTGTCAGCCAGTTAGGCACATGGCACATGTTGACATCTAATGTTCATTATTTTTCTATGCCGTGTTGGCTTTGGTGGTTTCCCAACAAACAGGTGAGACAAAGCTGAAGCAGCCGGGGAACCAAGAGCTGTCTCAGCTCTTGTAACTAGGATACAGCAGGGAGGCAGTGGCTGGGATCAGGACGCATTTTGATGTAAACATGCTTGATGAAATCCCCAGCAAAGGAACAGCAGAGGTCGATAGTGTTTTAGACTAGAAAGAAAAAAGTCTGTGTGTGATATGTATGCATATCTGTGTGGCAGCAGAGGGGAAGAGAGAGGACACACCACACGGGATGTGGCTGTGAATTCGGAGCTACAGTCAGTATATTT